TAAATAGAAATTTCAAATCCATTTGGTGGAAAAATAAATAAATTTGAAATCATATCAATTTTTTTTAATTTAAAACAATTTTTTCTATAACAAATAATAATAATTAATAGAGTTCAACTTTTTGCACTTATGTTCTATATAAATGCATTATATACACACATATATGTAATAATAATTCATCGATTACGATTAGAGTGCAGCTTGCAAGATTATCGTTATCTTATCAGAAACGAAATTACTTATTTATTTTTTTTTGTTGAAAAGATCCAGCATCTCAAATTATGAATGAAATTATTTTATTTTAAAAAATATATTCAATACTTTAAGATTATTATTTGCAATCATTATTTGTTAGAGTGTTCTTTAACATGAGGGAATATATTATTTATATAATACAATGATCAACTATCACTGAGGTTTTTTTTGAGTTTCTTCTAAGAAAATGTATTGTATGGACAATTCTTACAATTCATATTCTAAAGAGAGAGAATATTAATAACAAAATTTTATAAGATTTCTAATAATAAAAAAGTCGATAGTACCCTGGAGACAAAGCAAGCCAGAGAGTGTAAAGTTACAACACGTTGCTGTAGTCTTCGTAGTTCCAATGCTGTTGGAGAAAGCTGATTCATTTTCCCTGTAAGCAGTGAAATTTCAACGGAACTAATGAGACACTTCGTTGTTAGAGAAAAGTGAACTGCTTATACCGTCTACTCAAGAAGTATCCGGATTTTGTTGTTTATTAACTACTTCTTAAGTAATAGACTTTTCTCACAAAATTTTGTTTTTGTTATGTTGCTACACCTTTTCTTGACATATGGTACAAATTTGAGCCCCATCTGTCAATTAGTTTGTTTACAGCAGCTGTTAATGTAAGACTACCTAAAGTGCATTTAGCGATTTTTACTATGGAAAATTCTTGTTGTACGCGATTTTTTGATCAAACACGGCACCACTGTCGTCGCTCAGGCACCATATTCGCCAGATCTGGATCCGTGCGACTTTTTGCTGTTCCCGAAACTTAAATTGCCACTTCGTGGTAAGCGTTTTGTGTCGATTGAATCGGTGAAAGAAAATTCGCCGAAAGCAATACCTGCACGGGCCTACGAAAAGTGTATGGAAAATTGGGTTAAGCGTTGGCATATGTGTATCGCTTCAGAAGGAGCATATTTTGAAGTTTTATTTACAAAATCCGAGTACTTTTTGAGCAGAAGGTAAAACTCTAGTTCAAAGCTTTAAGATAATTTTCTTTTGTTGTGAAAACATATCTGAACTCACATAAAACTTAGAAGATCTCTCAAAACTGTAAGTTGAACATGGTCACATAAAATAAATCCAAATTCATAACTAACTTGCATCATAGGTTGTCAATATTATCAATATGAAATTTCAGATTTAAGTTTAAAATTTGGAATAAATGGACATATATGTATTTCTAGTTTTATAGTTAAATTTTTCTGTTTCTGCAGTTTCTGAACTTTGATGCTATATTTAAATGTCATAATAAACAATTTATGTGCTTTATACTGCATACTTAAATGACTTCGGTTAATGTGTAGATATTAGGGACCTAGTTGATAATTTGTTATGTTTATTGTTATAGCCCGAACAGTTCTTCTGGTATAAAAAGGCCTATTGAGTGTGATGACAGGTGCTTGGTAGTCGTATGAATGGCTCCGGGATGTACAACCAGTCGCTTCTGGCAGATGACTTCGGTGCGTTTGGTTATGTTTGTAGTTTTTCTATAGACAATGACATTAAGAAACATACTAACTAGAACATTGCACTGAAACGTTACAAGAATTTTATATTTTATTTAGTGTCGGTGATCTTAATAGCATAGTATGGCTAACATTATGGAGAACGTGTTCGTTATCCTGTTTAGAAGTGTAATGTTTGCTCAAAATCTGCTATATATATTTCTTTACCACTAATGGGTGTCTTTGTGGGTAAACTTTGTTGTTTTGGTGTAGTTTACTTCGATTCTCAATACTAATGGATGTGCATAAGATTAAAGTAAACGGAAATAAACCTCCCTGGCCGGATTTTATAATAAAAGCCCATATTTTTATCATTTCATATTTAATATATAATAGAGGTAGGTATTCACTCTGCCCTGCAAACACAAGGAATACGAAATGGGCAGATTGCGCGAGCTTGCAATGGACAACAACAAAAAATCCTTTTCCAAAAAAGGGGAAAAAAACAGCTGTTTTGACATGTTCTATGTTTGTTTCTCATGTGATGTAGTATGTTACAAAAACAGCTGTTTCATTTTGTTGTTGCAATTCTACAACAGAGCTGTTCTCGGATTCTTGCATTTTTAGGACGTGTGCGAGTGAGGCTAAGTTGATGCTAAACTAAATGGGAGATTTTTTGGGATTTTTTGCACTGCACACATTTAGTCATTTATCAACACGTATCGACACATCACTACATTATCGGCATAACTCGCACACGTCCCAAATAACGTTTTAAAAATATTTATAGTTTTTAGTTGAAGAATAAATCTTTTTAAAATGCTATTTAAATTTATATTATATTTATATATATATATTACATATATATATATTATATTTTTTATATACATAATAAATATACAATACTTATAATATGCATTCATTTTCCTGGTGAGAACCTTACTAATCATTCTCGTTGCTCTTAAGTGCTGTTCACACTGACAAAACATGTTTATTGATTTTAAAACAAAATTATATTTTCATATTTCTTCTGTTTATTTTATATATAATTAATAAAATTGGTTTGTATATAAAATAGTACAATACAAAAATCAAAGTAATAGTGTAAAATTTACTTTAATATGTCACAAAAGTTTATACAATGACTACCAGTTGAAAACTTAAAATTTCCAATGCAACGTTGTGTTACAAACATTAAATTCACTAATAATGATAATCGATCACAATATTTCTTACTGAATTTAATGCTTTTAATTTATAAACTTACTTGAAAGCAACAACAAATGTAGTCATATTATTGTGTATATAAAATGGCACTAATTCCATATTCACATTACCAACTTTTGCTGTCAAAAATTACTAAAATTAAATCTCAAACGTTAACCTTTCAGATTATTTCGACTTATCATTTTGTCAGTTGCTGCTTCTGTTATTTTTTTTTATTTACATTTTGAGTCTGTTTATATATTTTTGTTAACACCTTTGATATATTTGGTTACTTTATATACAAATTCTCGACGAAATTGAAAACGGTATACCTTTTTAAGATTTTTATACCAAAAATTTATTAATAATACATTATTTTCAAAGTTATATTCCAGAAAAGGTATTTAAAGAAGGTAACTTTCAATAAAAGTCGAACTGTTCAACTATTGACTCTTTTTCAGAGAGAAATTATTTATCTAATTTAAGGACGTGTGCGAGTTAGGCTAAGTTGATGCTAAACCAAATGGGAGATTTTTTGGGATTTTTTGCACTGCACACATTTTGCCATTTATCAACACGTATCGACACATCAATACATTATCGACAGAACTTAGAATTTCCCTCATTTAGAACGCAACTTAGCCTAACTCGCACACGACCTAACTAACTAATTTCGTGTTCGAACCCACCAATTTTAGTGGTTGACCTGCAGCATCAAAATTCATAATATAAAAATTATATGACGGAACATTTTTTATTAAACAACAATTTTAGGTCGTGTGCGAGTTAGGCTAAGTTGCGTTCTAAATGAGGGAAATTCTAATGTGCCGATAATGTAGTGATGTGTCGATACATGTTGATAAATGGCTAAATGTGTGCAGTGCAAAAAATCCCAAAAAATGTCCCATTTGGTTTAGCATCAATTTAGCCTAACTCGCACACGCCCTTAATTAAACTTCTACAGAATTTTATTTCGTTAAAGCGCAAAAAATGTGTTTCTTCGGCGTGGCAACTCTTAAGTGGTGAATAAAACAAAATAGTTGGAAAACAAATCAATCGCGGTAGTATATAAGGTGTGTTTCCGTATTATTCATGTTTAAATGTAGTAACGTTAAAATTAAAAATATAATATTTTTCTCTGAAAATAAGTAGTTTGTGCACAAGTACGGAAACCCTTTCAAGAAAAAAACTATTCCTTTAGTTTTTATTACAATAGACCATTCAATTATATAAAGAGAGAATATAATTTTTATATTTATTTATTAATAAAATAAAAAAATTAAAATAAATATTTTTTTATATTATGTAAATTTAGTTTTTTTATTTAATTTTGATCTTAATAAACATGCAATGTTTTATCTACATCATGAGTATAACCGCTCTAGTATGTTTGAAGAGGATTATAAATTATTAGGAGTTTTTCAATTTTTTTAAATGAAAAAATTTAATAAATGTCAAATCTCTTCCGTAAATTATATTTACTAATTATTTTTTAGGTATGAAAACACAATTTTCTTTTTTAAAAAACAATTTTACTACTAGTAAGTATGTGGACAAACCTATTTAAGATTCTTAAGGGCTAATATGATTTATTATTTAAGGAGAATAAGTTTTACTCTAACAGTGTGAAGACTTGACCATTAAAACCTTATTCACACTGCACAAGTTATTTGTATAATTTATATGAACACATAAAGTAGTAGAATATTTATTAAATTTTAATCAGTTATTAAAAAAAATTTACTGCTAAATCCTCATAAACAAATTTTGATATACCGTCTTCATAATAGCGCTATTAGACATGCAATTAAGTTAAATATACAATTGCTCAATGTGATGATTACTTGGTTTTAAGTGGAAGGTCGCAGTGTAACACTTAAACCCACTAAAACCAACTCTTGGAAAAGTAAAATACTATATTCATAAACTGTTGTTAAAATACTTAATACTGTGTTTAGACTTACAATGACTGAACTTTATTAGCACAATTTTGTATGAAAGATTCGATTTAAATGCGATAGTGTAAACATCCACTAAATACGATATTTTTCCACAATCCTTTTTTTGTTTTTAAACAATTTATTTTTTCTTTGGTATATTGGTTTTATACAAATAATTGTAAAATATATATTTTATACAATAATTGCACAGGAATAAACTTAAACATAAGACTTTGATTATAATGGCAAAAATATTTTGTGTGATAAATTGTGTACTTAATAGCGTATAAGAATGGTTAATATAAGATAATATATTGGATAGTTTTAAGAGTCCGCAGTTGTCCTTTATCTTCACCCAGATCATGAAATGTGGTAAAATTGTGTAGAAGCACAAAATAACAATAACTCCAGCCCTCCTACGCTCATTTGAGAGAACAAATAATACTTATTTTGCTGGAATATCGCGTATGGAATAAAATTCAAATGCTTACGTCCACTTACTCCACTGTGACTGATTTAGCCAGGTTACGCGGACAATCGACGTCACAACCACGCAGTACTGCAATATGGTAGGATAGCAATTGCATGGGTATTACAGTTAGAATGCCCTGAAGACAATCGACGGTGCCAGGTATTTCCAAACTGCGAGAGGAGAAGCTTTTTGTTTCATCATCCCCTTCTTGGCATATAATAATCGGTCTGCCTTTACGCGAAGTGACCTGTTGTAGGGCATTCATACATTTGGTATAGACAGGATCTCGTAGTACTATCATAAGCACTGGCATTTCTCGATCGACCAAAGCAAGTGGTCCATGCTTTAGTTCACCAGCAAGTATACCTTCGCTGTGCATGTACGTTAATTCCTTAACTTTGAGTGCACCTTCGAGACAAGTAGCAAAATTATAACCACGACCCATAATCAGTAGCGATTTGTGTTGGTAGAGGTCCTTCGCCAACTCCTGAACTTTGGTGTCAAGTTGTAGAACTTTGCGTATTTGATCTGGTAAATTAAAAAGACCATTGATAATTTCCAAGCGCCGCTGTTGCAGAGAGAGTCTGTCTTCAGACATAACAAGACCAAACATGACCAAAGAAATGAATTGTGAGGTGTATGCTTTGGTTGAAGCCACGCCAATCTCGGGTCCAGCATTTATGTGTACGCCACAGTGAGACTCACGACAAATGCTGCTACCGACTGTGTTGGTTATGCCAACAATCAGCGCGCCACGTTGTTTACAGTAACGCAAAGCCATCAATGTGTCTGCAGTTTCACCTGATTGCGATATAAAGAAACAAACATCATCCCGAAAAATAGGCGTGTTACGATCTAGAAAATCAGAGGCCAGCTCCACAACTACTGGCAATTCTGTAAGCTCCTCTAGCAGCTGACGTGTTGCTATGGCACTGTGATATGAGGTGCCACAGCCAATAAGCATTAGTCGACGGCAACGCCTTATTTCTGGTATATACTCCTTTATGCCACCCAAAACAATATTCTTCGTTTCGAAAAATACGCGTCCACGCATTGTGTTTACAACCGACTCCGGTTGCTCGAAAATTTCTTTTTGCATGAAGTAATCGTAGTTACCCTTCATGATTTGCTGAATTTCCACCTTCAATGTAGTTATTTCTCTAGCGTGTGGTTCATCCAACACCTTATTCAAACGGTGAATACTTAATGCACCATCTTTCACAGCAGCCACATCATCATCTTCCAAATAAATTACGCGATTGGTGTGTTCGATTATGGCCGACGCATCAGAAGCAAAGAAGTATTCCACTTCCTTGTTTTCCAATGGCTGAAACTCGGACGTGCTGTCTGAACGTGAAACTAAAGGCAACGGTTGCAAGGAAGTTCCATGTGGGCGATGTTCTTTAGCGTATAGTATGGGTATGTGATCGGTAGCCAATCTTGTTTTGGTGCGTATACCAACGAGCAGTGGTGAACCTCTTCTTGAAGCCACACATTCGCCAGGAAAGATATTTGATTTAAATGCAATTGCAAAAGCGCCTTCCAACTGCTGTATGGCTTGCTCCACCAACTCGCGAAATGAATAATTTGGATGTTGCAGCCATAAATGATGTACCAGTTTGGCAATTACTTCAGTATCAGTTTCGGATTCAAAAACGTAGCCACGTTTTTCAAGCAATGTTTTCACGTCTTTGTAGTTGGTGATGATGCCATTGTGCACAACCACAAAACTATTGTTTACATCGGAGCGCTGTGGATGAGAGTTCAATTCGCAGGGTACACCATGCGTAGCCCAACGGGTGTGTGCAATACCGACATGTGTTAGTACAGGTTCTTCACTGTAACGTGCGTCTTCAAAATCTGTTAAATAAATACTTTTACTTAATACACAAAAATGGGTGAAATAGTGGAAACTTACTGCTGCCTATTGCATCTTCAAGAACTTTTACTTTTCCACAACGTTTTACCATTATAATATCATTACTGTCGACGGCATCAATAGCAACGCCAGTGGAATCATATCCACGGTATTCCAAACGCTTTAGGCCATTGACCAGCAAATCCAACACTTCCTGCCGTGTTTTTGGCGTTAGGTAATTTAAGTAAGCAAATATTCCACACATTTAGTTATATTAATTTTAATATCTTTTAAGAATTTAATGATTTGGCACCAACTCTATGTATAATATATATAATCGAGCTATTATTTATCGCCAATAATGCCACGTCTGTTCCGTTTTTAAGTCTGAGTAATTGTGTCTGAAGAATTTTATCTACCCCACTAGTCACCTCAGCTGATCATTCAATTAAATGTAAACAAATGCATTGACGATCCACAACGTATAACAGTTGAAATGTATGATAAAACAAAATATTCACAATAGAATTTGAATAGAATCCACAAATACTTAATTATATGACGTGTCGCATTTAGATTGAATATGGAGAGTAAGTACGCACGACATCCCTAAATTCAAATATATGTATATTAATCTTTATAGATTAATTTTTAATTTATATTAATTGCACTAAACAAATTAGTTTATCTTAATATTTTTTTTAATTTTTATATATGACTATCGTACTAGTGCCTTATTTAGGCACATTTAACAAAACAAATTTAGGATTTTTGCTTATAGAAAAATATTAAGACAATTTTTTTTTATTTATATGCTTTATTGTTGATTTAGTTTTTATATATAAATAAATAAATGTAAGTTTTGTGTTTATTGTATTATCGAATTCAGTAGATGTAGTGCTTTTAGATATAACTATTTTCACCAATTAATGCCAGTAACCTATTCACCACTTTCTTAGGAGCATGATATGGTTGTAGTCACATTACGGCCATTGTTGTTGCTTTCTATGCAAAATGAAAATTTGACACTAGCAGCTCACTCATTTTGTATTGAAAACAACAACAATTGTCGTGACGTCACTGAAATTATGGATTTTGTCAAATCGGTTATACTGAGCAACTTTTTGCACTAGCTTTATACTGATATAGCTTAGTTCTCAAGATAATGTATTTTAAAATGGTGAAGTAATTATGTCAAAACTCTTTTACTGTTCACATGACAAATAAAAACTAAACACGAATTTTTTTTTATTTTTTATTTGACTGTAGTCATATGGTACAAGTGCAGAGAACTATCAAACAGTTTTGTGATATTTTACATTATGTTTTACAATTATCAATTTGTCAAATATTTAGTGCTAATGTGATAGTAATTTAAATTATTATTAAATTACTAATTCGGGAGTAGATATGAAGGCTTAATTCTATTAAGTCTCCTCAGCAGGCCAGATGTATTAGACAGATAGCTGTCTCGTTTGAGGGCATGATATATGACACATAAATAAAATCGATGATAAACACACAAATAACACTAACAACTTAATCCAGATCAAAAGTTAGATCAACTTAGGTTATAACGGGGATTAGTTGAATCCACTTAGAGGTTAAAAACCTTTCAGATCAGCAATTCATGACAGCTGACTCCTCCCAAGTGAATGGATTATAAAGAAATTAACTAATCAGAAAACAGGTGTTAGTGCGAAAGAAATGGTCTCAATAAAGGTGATCATATAATATCAGATCGGCAATTAACGACAATTTACTCTTCCCTAGATATTAGTCATGGTCTATTAGATATAATAGACCATTTATTAGAAATAAACTAATCAGTCATGGTCCCAATCAAAGAAGATAAAGAAAAGAAACTGAGAGGAAATTTTGAATAATGGTGCCTCTTTGTGTAATATCGCAAAGAAAATCTCTTTTACTTATTTACCATACCAGAATTGTCAAATATTAAAAACGGTGTGGCTTATAACTTAAATATTTACTACATTTGTGGTTGCATATTAGCATGTAGCCATTTCTTCTAATTAGAAGAAATAGTATAAATTATTGTTCTTGGAAAATCCATTGTATATATTAATACGATTATAATGAGTAAATATAGGCATGATTTTTTATATCAGTTTTACTTCAATTTACATAAAAGTTTTAAATGCGCTATATAAATCAAATATAAATGAAGAATTGGTAAACTAAAATCAATAGTAAATATAAAGTAGCTATTATTGATATATGTAAATATGTATATATAATTAGTCATGTAATTGTTTTAATAAAGTTAAAAAAATTGTATTGTATTTATTAAAATAAAAGTTCTTTTAATCATGTTGCACATATACGTACTATATTTATATATATGCTGAGCATCTAATAGAAAAGTTAATATGTGTTCATACATTTCGAGTATTAGGTTGCATTGTTTTAATATTTTGTTTTAAAAAGATTAATATTAATATAATTTTTTAAAATTCAAAAAAAGTTTGGTATATTGTAATACAATTTTTGCTTGTGCATCAAATTTTTTCAATATAGAAAATCGTAAAAATGTATATACTGTTTACTACTACATATTTTTTGTAGTTTTAAGCAATCCTTTCAGAAAGGTGAAATGTTTTTTGTATATGAAATTCAAGAAATTCTTAACTAGTTGATAACAACATTGTAAAGAATAAGGATAAGTTTTAGAAGAAATATAAAATATATAAGCATTTTCCGCACCACCTTAGAAGTATGCTTGCTGGCGCGTTACCGAGTTTTAGGTGTTCGGTTCCCCAATCCACCAAAATATTTTATTTAACAAATATACAATTTTATGTAAATACAATTTAGAATAACTTAATATATACAAAATAATATTACTATTTTAAAAATATTTAATATTAAACCAAAAATAATAAGGAACTATTAAATTAAAGATAAATTATAAATAAATTTAATAAATTATAAAATTAAAACTAAAATGTTTTATGTTTAAGCAAAAAATCACTTAAAGAATATGAACACTTTTGTGCTGTTTATAAGTGTTGAAAGCATAATTGTTTATATTTAAAATTCGACACTTTATTATCTCGAT